CAGGAATGCTGGCTTCTTCCATGGTGCCATAGCTACTACAGAGTGAAGTTCCTTCCACCTTTCTCTGGTTGAGAAGAACTTCTACCTGGATCTTAAAAATTTTCCTAGATAAAATCTCATTGGAAGAGATCCCAAGAAATTAACTGGTCCATTCTGAAAAGAAGACTTCAGGCTAAAGGATTCCCCTGTTTGTTTTTGCTATGGCACCATGGAGATGGCATCCTGGATGGCATCATTAACATCTCAGGAAAACAATTTCTAATACAGGAGATCTCTCTTTATAGGTTTAACAACTTACTTTGTCCTAAAATATTATCTCACAGATAGTGACATTTAATTCTCTGCCTAAGACATTCTTTTACCAGTGTAAAGCAGACCTGGTACCTTATTGTCAATAACCTAATGCACCATCTTTATTTTGCTCCCCTCCCAATATAAGAATGTGGCAAAATGTTTAAACGAGCACTTTATAAATTACTCAAACTTGGGTAGATAAACTGCTTGTGGAACCCAATATTTCCCTAAATTATAAATTTCATGCTGATGTCTTCAGAAAATAAAAAGCATCCAAACTCAGATCTCAAGAAAATTTAGCTAGAAACCAACATGTGAATATAAACCAAATCAAAGCAAAGTATCTCAAGACCAAGCTCCGTCTTGCAATTACAGATTCAGTAAGCTAACAACAGCTGGCAGTACCTGAGCCAAGTGAAGAAGAAAGTTTCCACACATAAAAATTCAGGTATGTGAACTGATTTGCAAATTACTTTCTAATATTTTGAAACTCAATGCAGAAAAAAATTTAAAAAATCCAGAGTAGGATTTGCTGGAGAATGAAATGTCAGAAGTGAATGTGAATATTCAAAGTAGCATTTCCTATCTTTCAAACATCACATTTCCTCTTCTGAAATCACAGAGAAGGATCAGTGAGAAGTCCCAGCAGGGCACCAAAGGCTGTGTATCTTTAAATGCATCAAAGATATAGAAATCCTTATTTCACTTTCACATTTCACATTCCACAGGAAACCATTCTGATAAACAAGTTTTGAGATTTTTTGTTTCTTAAGGAAAAAATCAGCTGAGAATCTTTTCTTATCATACTAACACATATATCAATACCTTTTCTTATCTGGCAAATCCATCCATATAGATAATCACAGTGCCTGTCATTCCAAAGCATGCTGGAATCACCACTGATCTCTGCACAAAGTTCAATTCCTTGATAATTATTGGGTTCTCCAAAGCCCCAGTTTTCATACCTCACCTATGACAGAAAAGGTTTTGTGAAGATTCTGTTATATAGAAAGAAAATAATGGACAGAAGGAGGAGAGAGCATCAAACCACAGACCTCCAGGTTGTTCCTACTGTCATTTTAAAAACTTAGATAAGAGGAAACCAGAATCTCCCCATGCAAATGCTGACGTTTCAAACTTTCTTTCAGATTACAACTGGACTGCATCTTAGATAAGAGTTGTTCACAATCACACTTGGAAGAATTTATGGAACCTAAATTCTGTAAAATTAATCTGATAACAATGATGGAGCTTGCTACATGTTGATATTAAATTAAGCAAATATTCTGTATGAGTCAAAGAGTAGGACATTATTAAGACACAACAAAAATGTTAGCATTTTTGTCCAAAAAATAGTACTGCTATTCTAATTCTTCTGTATAAATTCCAAATTCAGTTTTCTTTATGATAAACTTCCCTCAATATATTTTGACCAGCCTTTCATGAAATATACCCACATCTCCAAAACCTTCTTTGTTTCTACAGTTTTCTATCTTAGTCTAAAGTATAGTCAAGTCACACAAGCGTAAACCAACTGCCTTCAGCTCCATGGAATGTAGACCATTTCAGATAAAGATGTAATTAGCAAAGAAGAGAAATACTAAGGATGGACTATTTCACTCAAAAGATCCTTGTATTTACAAGAACATCCTTTTGGTCTACATGAATTTAATTTTCTTGTCTATTCAATGCACATTTTCTTATAAAATATAGCACGTTTTAGTAAAAAGAAAAACAAAAGCCAAGAAATTGTTGTTCATGAACTTTCCTAAAGAGAGCATGATGCAGTGAAGGGTTATGATTAAGCATAAAATTACACAGGAACATATATACCACACACACTTGAGAAGCACAGGGAGTGCAAAATAACAGCTGTGGAAAATTAAATCACTCACTGGAGATCCGTCACTCCAAACAAAGCCATCATCAGGATTCAAGTAATGTAAACCCATCCAGAAATGCTGGTGGTAATAGCCATTGTTCCTAAAAAAAACCCAAAAAAGTAATAATAAATGTCCCATTGTTAGAAGTTTAAACATAAGCCCCGAATTAATAAGGGCATTACAATATTTTTCAGAATCTATCACTCACAACAGTTAATAAGGTTCTCTAAAATAATCCCTAAATCTGTTAGAAACAATAAGAACCAGGGTGGAAATTAATTAAAATGTAATCACTTCTAGCTGTTATCAGCTGTGTATGTTAATTCAGGCAGATTGAAATACTGACCAAGAAAATGTCCAGATCTAATGCAACTCCTGAAAATAAGGTGGCCTAAGACTGTTGCATAATGGTTCAATACCTACTGCGGCTCCATTTATCAGCTATCCATTTTCTCTGTAAAGGCACTTACAGTTTCCAAACACAGTTACTTATTGCAGTTGAATCACATTAAAAAAATAACACCTTAAACTAATTCTTGTCTGCAAGCAGACACATTTTTCTGATTTATCTGAAATTATTGAGTCAATCTGTGATAATGCAGCATCTGAGACTTCTTCCTTACTATCAGTATGTAGCTTATCTGGGATTCTAGCATGGTTGTAGCATTTTGCAAGGCTGCCATGTTTCAGTCTTGCTTCCTAGTTAGACAGGGATGTAGAGGTTCATTGAGCCCAGTCTATTCAGGTCATGATTCCAAGTGTTTGATTCATTCAGAAATCTCACACCTGCTTCTTACAGTTCAAGGACTTACTAACCTTATTTATATTCCCTGTGTAGGAAAAAGTGAATCTGAAGTTGTTCCTGCTTTCTGGTCAGTTCATAAGAATGAGAGACAATCAACATTTTGACCAGAACTGTATCACGCCTGTTTGTACACTTAGCTATGTGAAAATTGGCATCTGTGGTAATTTTATAGTATGCCCAAATCCACAGTAAGTAATTTTACATCAGATGATAAATGTTGCCTGAACCAGATATCTTGGCGAACTCATTTTTAGCATTAGCTTCTGGGATGAGTGTTGCTAGTCATACAACTCCTTCTATTTCACCAGCTCTGTTTTTTTACTATGTGTTTTAAACAGATGCAGATAATGTATCCAGACTGGCTTACACTGCAGAAAACACATACATCTAAAGCTAAATATTTCAGAAAGAACAAAGGGTAATTAAAGTGAACGGATGACCACACCACAGGTACTCACACAATAGAACGCCGTATCACATACTGCTCTTCTTTACCATTAATGGAGGCCAGATCTCCTCCTACAGCTCGACAAAACTCTTGAGATTCAAGCCATGTTTTCTTTTGCTCTGGTCTTGAAAAAGACTAAAGAGAGAATTTTGCAATCAGACAGAACAGACCATATAGATCACAAGATCAAGAAACATCAGCTACCCAAAAGCAATTCATTTACAATTAACTTGTTCTGTGGGGATTAGAGAAACTTTGAATATAAGGTGTATAAGCGTTCACCTCTGTGAAACACCCATTTAGTATGAGTATCTTTCAGCCAAGTTAGCAAACTGACATGAGTTTAAGCCAAGTTAGCAAACTGACATTGCTGACGTCAGTATCTGCCACAAGACAACAACTAAGAGAAAGCCACTTTGAATCAATCTTAAAAGAATGGGAAATTCAATCTTAAAAGAATGGAAAATTCAATCTTAAAAAAATGGAAAATTCAATCTTAAAAAAATGGGAGATTCAGTCTTCAAAGGATGGGAAATTAACACCAGAAGATCAAACCTGAAGATGAGATTTTAACTAAATAAATAAAACCATGAGAATTTCATTAGAAGGGAACAAGACCTCTACATATAATCTGTAAATAAGCTTAGGAAGCAATAAGATTTATGTATACTAATTTTTATTTCATGTATGTGCAGCAGATAGAAACTACCTTCATGCAGAAATAAGCAACATACTTACTTTGAAACAGAAGCTAATACGATTGTTTGAGTCCCAACCTTCTGGACACCGGGGAATAGGAGTTGTTGTAGGAACAGGTGGAAGTGTCACTCCCTCTGCCCACACTTTGCACACGAACTTTGCCTTTTCTTCACATTTTATTACATCCCATAATCCACCTGCAATCCCAGTCCTCATGGCAACACAACCTGGCTTTCTGCCTGGTTGTAAACAGGAATGCACAAAAGCAACATTTAGGGAGTCGTAAGAATTTAGAAAACTTCATACTCTATCCTGATGCAAATTAAGTCTTTGTAGAGTCAAAAATATTTCTAATGTTAGAGCAGGTCCAGAAGAGGACCATAAATATCATCAGAGGGCTGGAACACCTGCCCTGTAAAGAAAGGCAGGGAGTTGTTTAGCCTGGAGGAGAGAAAGCTCTGGGGAGACATTATCATGGCTATTCAATCTACAATGGGGGTTTATGAGGAAGACAGAGAAAGACTTTTTGCCAGGACCTGTAGTGACAGAACAAGGGGCAATGGTTTTAAAATAAAATATAGTAAGTTTAGATTGGACATAACGAAGATATTTTTTTACTGTGAGCGTGATGAGACACTAGAACAGGTTGCCCAGAGAAGCTTTGGGTGGCTCATTATCTGAAATGTTCAGGGTCAGGGTGGGCAGGGATTTGAGCCACCTGATCTAGTTCAAGATGTCCCTGCCCGTGGAGGTGGGGGGAATGAACACTAGATGACCTTTACATGTTCCTTCCAAACCAAACCATTCTGTGATTCTATGATTCTAGTTCATAATGAAAGAAAACGAAAGAAAACAAAACAAAAAAAAAAAATCAACAACAAAAAATCCCCAAATCTGTGATTCATCCACATTTGAGATACTGAATCGTGCCTCACAACATATCACCTCCAGTGGCTGACTCCAGGAACATCATAACCTCTGATCTAAGAAATCCTCCCCTAAAACTGAAGATGCAGTTAGAGGTAGTTTCTCAAATTTGTCTAATTTGACTATGCTTTTCAAAAATGAACTTGCTATATATTAGTCTATTACTGGCTTGATGGTCTACATAGCCTTACCTTAGAACAGAAAAAGAAAAAAAAAATGTTTTCATCAACAAAACTTAGTAAAGAAAGAAATCACAATTAATCTAGCAAAGATATCAACAACAAAAAAAAAGAAACATTAGACACAAATCTTCCCTTGGCCCTCTTGTCCTTCCCCACAATCCCATTTTCTCTAGGACCAGAGATGCTTCATGTAAGATGTGATCTCACACACCTCAGACCATGCAGTGAGCAAATGTACTATGAAATATGACTGAACAGGCAAGACTTGCAAGCAGGGTGCAGTATGCCAGCAGAGATTGCTCTTCCAGAGCAGTACAGACACAGACTTTGCCAGAATAGACACAAATCAGAAACTTGATCTCAATTAAAAGTTTCTTCCCAAGCTCATGTTAAAAACTCATTTCAGCACTAAACAGGAAGTCAGTGACAGCACTTCATGCTTGAGAAAGCAGCCAGATATATTTGAGAACAATTAGTCATTATACCATCAAGTGAGAACTATGAAGTAAAAAAATTCAAGTAGTGAGCAGTATATTTTGGGCACTGAACTCATAAAACAGCACAGAGCCATACCTACCCGGCATTTCAGAATTCCAGTGTGTAAATAAGACAGATTCACCATTAGCCCACTTGAATGTTCCCTTTTCTTCTACATCTGAAAGTCCAATCCAAAAGTACTTTTCTGTTCTCAGCCCAACCAGGCTAGTCAGATAGGCTTGTTCATATCTGTTGCAAAGAACACAACTGTTAAATTAATTTTTAAAATTGCTAAAGGCTTGTTATTTTCACGGAATTACTGCTGTACCTTCTTGAAAGCACAGCTTGCATGGATTTACTTCAACAAGGCACATAAGAAAACATTACATAACAGATATTTTGTAAGTCTCAATAACAGAGTATTTTGCCTTCTCTTCAGACGTCCAGTAAAGAAAGTGACATAATCACAGCCTGAAATGAAATTGGTGGGAAAGAAGAAGCTTGACATGTCCTATGTGTTATACCACTGTATTTTTTTGAGATTTTCTATTAGCCTTGTGTTTTAATGACTTCTTGCTTCAGGCAAATCCAAAACTGGAAAGGGAGTCTCAGCATTATTGGTGAAATATACAATAGTTGACGCTAGAGTAGTACGATGCTAAATGATCAAACTAAGAATCACTACAAATTAGATCCAATGATCATTCAAGAAAAGTTATGTTTGGGAATCAAACCTATGTAGAGGTAACACCTGTCATAGTTCATTATGGTGTTTAAACAAACAGCTCTTAAGAAATCAAAGTAAATAAAAAGTCTTCCCTTAATAACATATAGTCTGAAGACCACGTTAATGTTAAACCATTTCTATGACAGCTGCAGTGCTACCTACATTTAGAGAGCTACCATTCCTGACAGCTAGAGCTTTCACAGTAGAACATATCTATTTAGATTATATAGAAACAAATAAGAGAAAGGGAAAAGCATTGAGCTAACTGCAAGCAAAATAAGCTGTTCTTAACCCTTTGATTTTCCCAATATTCCTTGTGCACCAGTTTTTCAGAGATTTAGCACACACAGAACCCTGGCTGAATTATGATGGATTTTCAGGTACCTTTTGAAAGGAATTCAGAGCTATATCTCTTCATTTAATAATCAAAATTGGGTTCTGCATCTTTCACTCAAATAAAACCCATCTTCAAGCCACTACAATTAAGGAAATAGAAAATACAATTCTATCATTTCCCTTGACATAACCATCTATATCAATACTGATTTCACAGTCCTCACCTATTTTTACTATAAACTTAATTCCTGGATTTGAATTACATGCAAAAACTGTGAGAAGTTCTGTATCTACAGATAGGTGTCCTCTCAAGCAAGATTTTTGTCCGGATGGGAGTATGATATTCAGATGATGCCAGGTGTTAAATCCTCATGTGATCCTCTCATGCAAGTAGACTTGTACATACCTGTCTTCAACAGTTGCTAAAAAGGCCTGATGCCTTCCGCAGGTTTGATTTGCTTGAGAAAATGATACAAACGTATTTCCAATGAAGTAACAATAAAAACCATGTCTTTTCCAACCCTGTCAAAATAAACATTAAGTGACCACATACGTTGCAGCTTTTCTAAACCTCTTAAAAAAATTAAAATATACCACTGTCAGCTAACCATTAGACAAAGGAACGACTGAAAAAGCCAGACTGGAAACAAGCAGGATCAAAGCTTTTTAACTTATTATTTTTCACATTTTATGATTTTTAATCAGTGCCTTCCACTTACAAAGGCAGAAGAAGCTTTGCTGTGTACCTTTAGCGCTCAGTATAGGATTATAACTAGCACATAGGCATTGTGCAATCACGAGAATAGTCTTGAGAAGCAAATTTCAGCTTGGCTTTTCAGAAAGGGAATGACACCTCAAACAGGTTTGTTTATTATTAACTAAAATTAAAACACTCTTCTAATATTTTGTTATTCAAATGCCATTAATTCTGAAATATGCTTACAGAGGAGTTTACTGTGACCAGCCACGATTCACACAAATTTTATTCTGATGATTTTCAGTTTCTCACCTACAAGAGACTTGTCTATATGCAGGTACTCAGTTCTCTAAGCAAAGATAACATCTAAAAGCATTAGGATATCTCTATCTTTTTCAGCAGTTGACTATTTGCAAGGTTCCCAGATACTCTTACAAATACTAGGAATAAACATCAAAGACTTCCTCTGCAGCTGTGTAAAGCAGATTTGGGAGAAAAGGCAATTGCTTCATGGAAGACAAAAAGTCAGTAAGATTCCCTATGACATAAGAAATTACAGTAGTTTTTTTTTTAATTATTGAGTGTTATGTTACCAGAAGGCAATTACCAAATAAACAATAGATCTGCTGGCAGTTCAGAAGGAGCACAATGGATTCATTTTGCTCAGGCACTCATAACAAATTCTTCAAAGTAGAAAGCACTGCCAGAGACCACAGTAAAGCCTTGAGAATAGTATGTAGGCAAGCACACCCTTCCTGCTATGAATAATTTTGAAGAAAATTGTAGGCAGAGCTGAAGAGCAACTGCTGGGACAGGTCAATTCCTTAGGAAGACTTGAATGCCAGTCAAGGGAAAATGGCTGGCTGAAGGGCCTACAGGTTTGAGTTTTAAGTTCTGAAAAAAGAAAGGGAGCATCAAGATCTGCCAAATGACAGTCAGAGCCTAGATTTATTTGTACGTTAATGAATGCCTATCCCACCTGCCCTAGAAATCAGTAGGCCAGCTGTTCTGATGATGACAACACAGAACCCATTCTTTCTGTTTAATCTGTGACCTAGGTGTCATTTTCCCCTCTTAACCATTCCTAGCAGCCTATTCAGATCAGACTACTTTTTCTTCACTTACACTCTGGCAGCCCATGTCAATAGTTTCCTCTTCAGTAGGACCTTCTGACATGGGTTTCCTTTTACAGATGTAGCCAATTCTCTTTTCGCAAGAATGGTCTGCCCAAAATCCATCCTGAACATAAGAACAGAACATTAGTCAAGTGGGATCTAATCTTCAAAAAAGGTACTTTATGCTTTTAAGTATTTAATGATTTTTTACTAGCTTTAAAAGAAGCAAAACCTACATCTAAGTTCAGTACTTAACTCCAGCCCCACTCCAACCTATTTCTACCGTCTGATTCACCATTGATTTACGCCTTCGATATTTTTAATTATCACAAAGAGGAAAAATAGCATTTTGCAACATCACACACAGACTGACTTTCATGCCAGCTATTATCTCAGTTTCTGTAGTACACCTAGGTCAGCAATCATTGCCACATTCCTAAAGGCAGCCTTTTCAAAGCAGCCTTTTAATTGCAGGCATACAGCTACTCAGTAAAGGCTTCTACAAATGCCACTGCCAACTAATTTTCTCATAGCTCTGCATGAGCAGTGCGATTGCAAGTATAACATTTAATCCACCTAGACCCAAGATTTACAATTTTGCCTAGAACAAGAAAATGAAGGCTTCTGTTTTCTTCTAAAGATAATATTTCTCTCCAACACATTAAAAACTATTAGTGCAATTTTTAAAGCTAGGTGTATATCCCATATTCAGTCACAGCAGAAAAAATTCAGACATACCCAAAATGTCCTGGTAGCTTCCTGAAAGCTACTAAGCAAAGCATTTGCATGTTCATGTACTTAACATTGAAACTAAAAGTTTCTTCAAAAAAGCCCACATGCACAAACTGAAATCCAGAAATATGGATACTGGGGGGCAAGGAAAGCCACCACTTGCCTGCTTCCCAGGGAAGACAAACAAAAACAACAGGGATCCTTCCTCAAAAAAATAACACCTATAAGACTCTAAAATAGGCTGCTTCAAACAATAATACCCTCTACTTCGTTGCTCTTGCACAGAAAAAAACCCAACTGATAGATAGAATTATAAGCTAATTAATTCAATAACTACATGACTTTACCTTTCCTTTCATAACAACGCAGTCCTCTTGCCTGTTGTTTGCATGAGTGGGTTCTCCACGAAGCCACTTGGTATAAGTGACAGGTGTCCCATCACTCCATTCAAAATACATCTGAACCTTGAGGTCATTCAGCCCAATCCACAGCTCATCAGATGGCTCTAAAAAGTTCAGTTAACAAAGTTGGTAACAGTCCTTTTACATTATGTGAATTTTTATCTTAATAGATCAGAAAATGATTTATTTTCAGGAAGTTTAAAAGGCAGTCTGGAAATTAAGGCTCTCTGTTTCATAAAGAGGGCAGACCATTCCTCATGTACACACTCCAGTCAGTATTATTTATTTCTAGTCTGCCATCCAGCCTATGCTAAAGGCAGCAGGTGTTTCCTTTTGTCCACAGCACTTTAACTTAGATCACACTGATCAGCTACATGCACAGTCCTTTCGCTAGACAGCAGTCTTTGCAAGCAGAATATGAACTATTTGGTTGCTAGAATTTACTCATTATGAATATTTTTCAGTGACAAGGAAACTACTTTCTAAGAGTTTTTTCCACTGCTTATGACTTTGCATTTTTACAACCCATCTACAGCACTCAAGAGCTTTTTCCTGTTCAGCTTATTATCATAGTTCTTGCCTTCTTCTGTAAGTCTTCCTCTAACATCCTGACCACAGTCAACCTGACAAGAAATCACTCATGGAAATTAAAAATGGGATTGTGAGCCCACCCAAAAAGACTCTAGATGCAGGAGTGGGTCTCCCAATGGAACTGGAACAATTTCTTTTCTGTTGCTGCTATGACAAGCAACAGAAGTGCCTGTGAAAGGCATAAAAATCATAACCTTAAGGAAATCCTTTCTGATTAACACATTTCAGATTGAAGTTTTCCTAGATACGCCTGTAACTTCAAACTCTCTTGTGACATTTCTTCCATTTGCTAGTTACAGGAATATGGAGGCTTCCCATTTTCACCAACCAAGCTGCTGCACACCCTGCCAGCCTGACATTTTAATGGAGTCAACTCTCTCTCTCTTTCCCTTCCTTGTCTCTCCCGTCTTTACTATACCAAAGGATGATCAGCCCTTATAGCTCATACATACTGTTCTTACCATATCTCCCTTAAGAAGAAGAACTTAGGTTCACATGAAGCTCCATTTTCAAACAGGCACCTTTACTTTTTCCTCCAGACTGCTTTTCATGTTCAGAAGTCCCCAAACATCGCATCTCAGTACCAACCTTTAAACTCTCCTCTGCTAGCAAAATTGAAACCTGTTCAAGTTCCACTGCCCATCGTGCTCTCATTCCTTCCTTAGCTACTTCCATTCATGCTATTTTTTATTTTTTTGTTTAGTTATATGTTAAAATTTTGCTGTCTGTGTTTATTGAGCACTTAATACAGCAGAGGTCTCACCCATAGCCAGAACCTATTTTAGTGGGCTCAGACCACTATAATATGATCAATAAACTGCATTCTTCAACATATTACATTAAAGTCTTCTACATAAGCCATGCAAATCAGAAATGGCCAAGAGCCTATATAACATTTTTTCTCTGAAGAAGAAATGCTGTCATGGAGTAAAGCTGGGTGACTAAATACTAAGAATTCTTTTCCCCCCGCCACTTGCAAAAAAGCTGTTTTCTACTCTCTCAGACACGCACTGCGCCACGATCATGCCATATCACATGCTGGACTTCTGTGTAAACATCTAGAATGCACTTCTTTATTCTTCTTCATGTTCCTCTCTGAAGTTCTCCTTTGTGGGTAAGGACAATGGAAGTTCGACTACTATGACAATACTCATCTCATTGTAGCCCTTTTTCCTTTGTTTTATCATGGGACTGTGAAATGTTTGGCACAAAGATAGGCTTTTGTTCTTTCTGTAAGGCACAGTTCTGATGCAAACAAGATTTTCTAGGCACTGCAATACATGGTGTTCTCATCTCAGTGGTGAACAAGGGTAATCTGATACTGTCATAAACTGCCTTAAAAGGCTTCTTTAGTTGTTCCAATTTTACTCCTCTGAAAAGAATGCTTTCAAAATAGGCCGTTGCAGTGAGTATGCCATATGTGAGAAGCCTGGTTTCCTTCAGGACTATTTGCCTTTCAGAAACATTCACTTTTACAAAAACAGTGCAGCACAGTCAGTTCAGAAAAGGTCTTTGGAGAAGGCATTAAACTATGAAATAATCTACTTCCAAGGAGTAAGGCGAAAATACATCTTATTTCCTTTAGAAAATAAAGGAAGAGCCTAACTTCTTCCAAATGTCCTACTGTCTCATCAAGAGGTCTCACCTTTCTTAATGATATCCTTTGAAAGAGTAAAAGTTTCATGTTGTACAGGAAAAAACAACAAATCACTCTTTCAGGAATGTGAAGACAAGCACAAATTGCTGTGGAGTTGGCTAGGATACAAAACTAAAGCATATCAGCTATTTTATGTTTTCCACTCCAAGACTGCTGTTAACACTGAAGCTCAAAGCAGCTTACTGCACTTTCTCTAAGTCACACTTACCTGGCACTAAAAGCACACATAAGATGCAAAGATGGATCATAGGTGTGAACATGCTGCTCTCATCAAAAAGCAGTAATTGATCCTGCATGCAAAATCAGGTTCATGTACAACAATAGCAACGACAAAACTGCCTTGGTGTCAGCATGGTTGCACCTCCTGGAATGAACACACAGCATCCATAGCCTAACTTGCCTTGCAAAAACTGGAAACTAAGTTCTCAGAAACTAAGCACCTAAATATCACATTTACTTTGGGGCACATCTGAATCCACACACTGGGACAGACAGCTTCCTTTTTCAGAAGAAACACAAACAGCGTGACTTAGAAAATAAGGGCACGGCAGTGCTGGTAATAGGACCCAGATCTTCCCAAATCATCTTTGACTAACAGACTTTGCTTCCCGTTATCTATGCAGACCAACAGTAAAAATCCTTCTAGGTTCTGAAAAAGTTGAAAATTGTTTTAATCTGTATAAAAAGAGGTAGAAGCAGACTCTAAAAAATAGTTCGGGTTTGATGCTATTCACAACATTGACCACAGCTTTTCTGTGACAGTAGAGTTTGTTTGGGTTTTGTGATATTATCGTGTGCTTTTTCTTCCAAAGATTTTTTTAATTTAAAAGCTAACTCCTCCTGAAACCTGTGATCAGCACAATTACTTTTTTTTAAACAGTCTCCTCCTTTTATTAATAGGCAAGACATACTCAAAACTCTTGATTTTCCTAGTATAAACATATTTATGTTATTGTAACAAAATACTCACGGTACCCAAGCTGAGAAATAACAAAGCTGTACTCTTCAACATTATGGATGCTTGCCAGATCCCCATCCTCTTTCCTGCAAGATGTTAAGGCATCTTTCCATATTTTGAGATCCCTGTGAATTATGTAACAGTGACCAGCATACGACATCCATTGATCAGGACATCTAATGGGCACATTAGTCTCTGAAAAGAAAAATTACCATGAAGAGTTTCAGAATTCTATTCTTAACTAAAGACTGAAAACCACATAAGGAAAGATTTAACAACAGAGTTGGAAAATATATACAGGGATAACAATCTGATTGCATGAGTAAAAGTTGAAACTTCCAGATTTCTTTTACACACTAAAGTTGCAAGTACTTGCATCTTGTGAAAATCCAGAATTAAAAATTACCTTAAAACACAGGTTTGACTATTTTATAAAGGTTTATAAAGGTTTGACCTACTTATAAATGCTAAAATGTAAAGTTTGCAAAGCAGTGCTTTACCATTTTTCTCCACTCATGTCAGCATTTCTCTTTCTCTTCCATGCTGTATAGCTATATGTTAAGAAACTGGACTTAGTAAATGTATTTATGATGGTAATTTTTTCCCCAAACATTGGGCATTTTATGGATTAGCCCCATTTACTAGACTAGTAAAGAAAAAATAAATATTTCTACAGGGTCGCAAGTGAACACAAATAAGAATACTGCTTTTAGGAATCCTTTTTAAAAGCTTCATTGAGAAAATTATACTGTCTAAGTAAACTCGTTTTTAAAAGTTCAACAGAACAGCAACAGAGTACTGCCAGCAACCACACTGCTGTTCAGCAAACAATTCAGCCTTGGGAGGAGTGCCACCCAAATATGTAATAAACACAATATTGCTGTTGTAGAAACATATTATGATTCTTGCAGCACTTTTTACTTATAATCAGCAGATGGGTTTAGCAAACACCAAAATATAGAGTAGAACAGGGTAGCAGGTTTGCTAAAAAGTCTGTTGGCAAAAAATACTTGTGTATATGTCAGGGAAGAAGAAGCAATGTATTTGTGTGTAACAGTGGGATATATCCTGTAGAGATAATTAAGTACGAATCCAAAGTTATGATCAGTCAGGCCCAGGTTGCAAGCACACATCCTCTTTCCGCTGGAGTATGCTGATGGCTAGTAGTTACTTAGTGTCACAATCCAGATTTCTAGCACAGCTGTAAACTGTGTCTGCTGCCTGCAGACCTGCCTCAAAAAAGTGCTAGCATGTTCTCACAAAGTTTAAGTAAAACTGAACTTTATGACCCCAGGATAAGGGGCTCAGATCCTTGTCAATATTGCCACAGGAGAGTAAGAACTGGAATAGAGAGTGGGGGAATCCCAGAAAAACAAATTGAATATACGTAGTGGTGTTGGGAGAAACAGGAGAGGGCAGAGCTGGCAAATGCTGTTGTAGAGGTTAGTCCAATGCTTAAGACAGCTGCCTAATACGTCCTGTGCCTGGTCTCAGCTCAGGGCATATGTGTTTTACCCTGCTTTGCTGTAACAGTCAGAGAATTGCTTTGGGGGAAAAAAAAAATTAAAAAAAAATCTAGGCAGGTGTGCACCTCCAATGCACATAATTCACCCTTCTGCAAACTGTAGGCACTGAACAGAACAGATGTCAGTAGTTCAGACATAGCTACAAAGACAGTCACAGAGGTATTTATTCCCCAGTGAGTCCATGAGACTTTTTCAGACCGAAGGAGACTGTGAGACTACTACTGTAAAGACTACAGCAGCTATGGCAGGGTTGGAGAACCTTTTGCTTATAAATCCACTAACACTAGGGAATTTGTTGCAGGCTACCAAGAAAAGCAGTTGACAGCCTAGTTTCTTTGGAGCAAGTCTTACTGAATGACACAGCTGATGATTTCTCAGTAAGAAAAAGTCTTCAGTTCTTCATTTCCAGTACTCAGCAAAAAATTAACTCTGTGCTTCTCTATTCTCCTTTTAAAGAAAATACTTGATGACACAAAGCCATATATACAACCTATTTTTTTCATCCTAATGGAAATAAGTACTACTCCCTGAACTTCATTTGACTTAAGCAAAAGAAACAATACAAACTAGAACAAATAAGATGTAACAAACAAAATCATATCAATGTGCAAAAAATGTTATCCCAAATGTCAAGCTGATGAATTTACTGTGGAATAGATACAGAAATGAAGTTCGGAAGCATAGAATGGTTATTCTTCAAATAGCAAGCAAATAGTTTTGTAAGCTATAAGCATGGCTTCCTGAAGTCTGAAGATCTCACAGTGATTGACATGGGTGTCTAAAAGGGTGAAAGCACTAGTTGAAGCGTTATCATGATTCAGGCATTCCGATTTCTCTCTCTCACCCCCATCACCTTTTGGCTGGTGAGAGCTCACACAGCAGTCACAACACTGACACTAAGAGTACCTATTTCCTCTAATTGAATGTTTTATGAAGCATTTGGAAACAATACGTTGACATCGCTACACCTGGTTGGATTGGGATGAAATCTATTTTGGCAGTCACTTGGTGAAGGTATAGAGACAGACAGCCTTTCCTTAGGAAATTAAGTTAAAAAATAAGCTAGTTTTGCAGGTGAAACTAACAGGCTCCTATTAATCCATTTTGCTGTATTACAGGGCCAATGCTTTGAAGTCCCAGGGTTCCACATCGCTTAGATGTGTACAATGATGTGGCCCCCTGCTGGAAAAAACACTTCTGCTACTAAGAGAAAACCCTGTACCACTGCTGGCTTTCTGGAAATCTTCATCTGCAACAGAAATAAATATCCTGTAAAGATTTTTCTCTGTTCTGGATACAAGCATGATTATATTGTATCATTAAATATATATTCCTGTCTCACAGCCCCCACATACTTAATGCCTTGTTACACTCAATTGTAACTTCTAGGGTTACAATTTCAAAGAATTGCCTCTGTGTTCAACCTTAAGTGCACAATTAAGTGCACATATGGATTTGAGATTAATTTATTTCTTGACTCAGGAGCCCTAGTCAGGAAAACATCATCTGCCATGAGTTTCCTTTACATCATTAGAAGATGAGGGCACTTAACACCTTGCGTGATCACATGCTTATTCCTTTTATGACTTCCCCCCATGGGACATTATGGAAAATATTTTATGAAGTGAATCACTGCCAAACTCTGGTTAATCTGTCACCATGTTTACTCAGCAATTTCTGTATAATTGAAACCTTTTGTTTCAGTTCTGTTCGTCCTCCAAATTACTGGTAAACTGGGGGGCGGAGAAAGGGGAGAGAATCAAAAGCATACTGCAAAAGAAAGAAATGGCCATTAGACCACCCAAAATTGAAATTAAATCTAAATAAGATACAGCTAGTATTGAATCGATATATTTATAGGCATCAGTGCCTAAGAACTGATGCTTGATGTCTGAAAAACTGAGCTGCAGCAAATTGAACAATCTAAGACAAACTATGTAAATTAAAGCATATAGTTGCCAGCTGTATACAGATCCTAACAAAACTTTACATCTTAATTTAGGAAATGATTAGAATATGCACTAAAGTCCTTCTCAGCTAGGCAACAAACATGCATGATTCCAATAGTAAAGTATTAACTTAATAATTAATGGTATAGTAGCTCATTCTTCTTGTTTTGTTTGGGTTTTTTTTCTGTTAGCAATAAAGCAAAACAGAATAGGCAGAAGTCTCTGTCCTAAACGTTTTTGACTGGACTGGTTATACACTGGCAAAAGCAGAAAAAACATTAGAAAACATGTTTTTAAGCCAAATGTCAAACACTGAGTTTCCAAAATATTTGGTTTGCAAATAATGCATATTAGTATTTGAACTGGAAATCCAGTAATGATTTATTTTTCTGCTTCCAAAATCTATACGAAATAATGTCAGTGGATTTAAGAGATACCTATATGTCCTGGCAGGAGAAAGAAACTTGCAAAAAAACAAAAAAAAGAGGTGATGACACAAAAGAATAAGTTACAAGGTTTTTATAGTACCCAAAGAGATATAAGGTTGCAGGTCTAAATAAAACTATAAAAACTTATCCCTGTTTTGTCTTTCCTATTTATATTAGGCAAGTGCCAGAATTATATTTCTTCTGAAAAAGTCTGTATATATAATTTAAATAATTTCATAAATATAT